TATATATTTTAGGGTAAGGTGATACCATAGTAACAGCACATGTACTAGCAAAAATCGCATACACGCGTGTTTAGCCGATATTCTGTCACTGCATGGCGCAGCTTCAAAGGCTTCGGCTCGTCAATGGGTCTCCCAGCATTCCCGTGTGTTTTCTGGTAGATACCGCAATTAAGAAATAGTCGCTTTTTAATCTCCTCAAAAATTGTCTACGAAGTTAGAGTACATCAGTTTAAATAAAGGTCTATAGACTCAGAACGAGAATTATAAGTAAAAATATTTGCGCCAAAGTCTATAAGCCACAGCGGGTATCCGCGTAATGTTTATTAACTGTCGACAGAGAGCTGGTAGTATACTTTTAGTATGGTATCACCTTACCCGCAAATGTCATAGGACACATTGGTCGGCGGAACCCTCTGCTGACGCGTCATGAAACTATACAAAATCCGCGAACCATGTGCTTAAGCTTTGTACTTGTAATCGTCTTTGAAATATGATTTATCAGGTAATGCTTATTGCCCGCGTACAGTTATGGTAGTATTGTTCACCAGCTGGCCAAGCATAAAGTAGGTGAGCTAACTCATGAAGTGTCAATTAAAATTCCAAATAACCTTTTAGTTGCGAAAATATAAATAAAGTAGTGTTGTGAAACTAATCCCCATGCAGCGTAGTTCTATAATAATTCGGCTACATCTGGAGGTTGGCTTTCGAAAGAACTTCTTTTCAGCTACAAGCGTAAACCATACTCCGTAAAAAATGGTAAATTAATTAGCATGCACTTTTTTTTATTGATTTTTAGTGCATTTAAAGATTCAATTATATTTCATGAAAGACATGAATTAAAATATTAATTCTTTTGTTTAGGGGGTAGACAACTATGTCATCTTCCAATTTTATAATCGAAGAAAGCGTAAAATTCGGTTTTAAAAAAGATTCCAATCGTGAGATTTTTTGCTACCATGAAATTGCAGTTTATAAAATGCCATGTCTCTGCATTTGCCAATGTGGCTTGTAAAATGAAAAATATGGCTCAAATCTATCGCTTAATTTTGTGAACACCACACGGTCTCCTCTTAATGCTGTAGAGAAAGGTATGGATTTCCTCACGCGGAAAACATACAGTTTATAGTCTAGAAAACCTGAATAAAAATGCAATGGCAGGTCGGGTTCAGAATTATTCGGGAATTGAAAAAGTTCTTGAAACCCGAATTATATTCCCCTTCTTCGAGCATAAAACTGGAAGAAGGCGTTATTTTCTAGTGAATGAGCAAAAATGAATATTTCTATGCGTGTTTACCATGACGTATAATTGAATTTTTAGGGGCATCGAAAATCAGAGCTAAAAATGCACGCTAATTAAGTAGTCATTTTTTACAGAGTATAGTTTTTGCATGTAAGTGAAAAGAAGTTCGTTCGAAAGCTAACGTTTTGGGGTAACTGAATTATTCTAGAATTGTGATTCGTAATTATTATTTTTAAAATTTTACTTTATTAACCTTATCGAAACGAAAACGCATTTCGGAATTTCGGTTGAGATTTCATGAGTTGGCCCAACTATTGCAGATGAAATGTCTTGCCACCATGACGTTTTCCAAACAAGAAAACGCGAATTCATTTTTGTCCCCCAGCTATAGCAAATAATGGCATTAAGAGGCTTTCACACCGCGTTTTTGAAGTGAAAGTAGTAAATAACCGTGTCCGTGAAGTTTTCTTTTCCATAAAGGCAAGGATAGGTTTTTGTAACCCCAGTATGTTTCGAACGTATAGGTAACTACTCTATCTGTTTTAAAATCCCTTGTTTTGTTTATAAATCCGTGACTGCAGGAAGTCCCCCTATGTGTGTTATCTAACACTGATATAACCGCATACGCTAAATTGTTTCAATATGATCATGTAATGATAAATTACTTGGCATGATGTTCTCCCTCTCACTTCTCGTAATCTTTTGTCTTACCTTGGTTGTCCAGTTACCCCAATGTACTCGCATTGTCTTCCGTTGTCGATGCCGTACGCCGTGACCTACTTATTTCTTCGGGAAGAGTAGGTAAAGCGTTTTGTTCCATGTTAGTACTCCCCATACTATGCCTGCTGCAAGGACCGCCGGCTGCTTTATGATTTACTTTGCCTCAACTGGAACACAGACGCTCTGCTTCCTCGATATTACTGAACGGTTTCTGTCATCAAATGCGTGCGCTCGACTTAGTTATTTCTTTGAGAATACCTGAACATAGTCGTTCGCATACAGTGAGTGACCTATCTCATGAAATGTTGGCTAAAATTCTAAAATGCGTTTTCGATTAGGAAGGATTACTTGGCCGCGGTTGTAAGACTGATTATCTTGCGGTATACTCATAACATTTCGGACTCGGCAGGACGCTGGCTTTTAAATGCATGTCTATTTAGTCTCCTGTAGAAGGCGTGCTCGGTAAAAAAATGACTATTTATGTATCATGCATTTTTCCCATTGATTTTCGATGGTCTTGGAAATTCAAATATATTTTATAGAAACCACAAACAAAAAATAGGCTTTCCTTTAGTCACTCAATAGAGAATCACGTCTTCTTTATATTTTATACTTAAGAAAGGAGTATAATTAGGTTTTAAAAAGTTTCTAATTATGAGACTCTTTAAGACCGAGAAACGTCCATTCACATAGCATCGTACGTGTGTGTTTACTGCTGCTTCTCATGGAATGTACAACATGGTCCGCATCCATTGCAAAATTTTGCGGACTCTGTATGATATCTCTTTAATGGCATAGAAAGATATGTGATTTTACTTACGCGGAACGAATTCACCTCGTAGAGTGAAATCACTAAGCGCTACTGCAGCGCATTTTCAGACTCCATTTATTCGGCAATTAGAAAACTTTTTTGAAGCCTAATTATACTCCTTCCTTAAGTATAAAATGTAAAGAAGACGCGATTCTCTATTGATTGACTAAAAGAAAGCATCTTTCTGCTTACAGTTTCTATAAGATATATTTGAATTTCCAAGACAATCGAAAATCAATGTGAAAAATGCATGCAAATTAAGTAGTCATTTTTTACCGAGCACGCTTTCTACAGGAGGGTGAAAAAATTGCATTTAAAAGCCGACATCCTGCCGAGTCTGAAATGTTATAAGAGTATGTCGCAGGGTAATCAATTTCACAACCAAGAATAAATAATCCTTCCTAATCGAGAACGCATTTCACAATTTCAGCCAACATTTCATGAGATCCGTCATTCACTATAAATAATGATCAGACAGTTAAATTTAATTGAGGGGTGAGGTTATATAATCCACCTTTACCGCCAAAAATATTGCTAAGCAGCAAGCGGAGTTCTATTAATGCATGCGATTTGAAAGGCCGTCGACCAGTCGCGTGGCTCTACACGTGTTCCCTTTTTAAATCTGCTTCGTTATAAAGGAAAACCTTTTAATCAAAAGTCTTCCACATATACCAACCGACGGCAATTGTGCAAAAATGTATCCTTTGAAGTAGTCAGGTGGCATGTGCCATGATACAAAGTAGGTTTTTTACCACCCACAAAATTACTTAGTCACACTGATACGCCCAACGCATAAACAGATAAGGAGCCTTCGAATCACACTGTCAATCTCAACGCACTCCATATACGGTGGGGACGGAAATAATGGGCTAGAAGTTGAAAAAACGATGTTATTCCTCTAAATTTACAATGACAACACTAGATAGTTTTAGTGTTCTATTAGCAAAATGCATAGTTTTATAACTTACACTTATCAAGACACAAGGGAATTTGGCGGAGACATAAATTATATTGTTTGCGTATGCTATGTAAGTTCTTCCTGAGATATGGACTACAATGATTTCTTAGTGGAGAATTGCAAGTCATTATAAGAGTTTTTGTTCGCATAAAACGGACCGCTGTCGAATGCTGCGCAGTTTTTCACGAGAAATGCAGGGGCTCATACTGAAGAACACACCGTCACGGACCTTCAGCGCACTTCACGCGAAAATTGAATTTGACACGAATGACTGCGTTATGACGTGTGTCTCCCCCGTCTAGCAGGAACGTTGCCAAGCCAGCCTTTTTGAAAGCGTGGTGAAGTAGGAGACAAGTTCTACGTCTGCTTTTCAAGGTGGTCTCTAACGCACGAACACGCCTACGAGACTCCAGCCATTCATCCGATTTGTGCTGAAAACTGTCATTTCTTGCAGTAGGCCAAGACGTGTGCGGCTCACGTAAGCGGGCCACCCATTTATATCTTTGCGCCTAGCCTCATCATACGTTCTTTGATCGACTTGTGCATGGGAGATGGAAGAAGGAGAGTAATCTTGACAGCAAGGTACAGTTCGTATGGAAATCCAACGCACCCCTCACCTCAATAACTCTGACGTACTCGAACCTCGTGGTCTAGTCGTTTGCCATTTAGCGGTACAATCCAGACATCGTTACTTACCCCGTTTATGGAATGACTGGTTGGTGGACTGGGATCTTGGCTGAATGAATATAATTTTCAGACCTCTATGAACTCAGACGTGTGACATCACAGACACGTGACGAGTTTGCCTGAGAAGCTCCTGCGTCGATGCTTCCGCCACATCCCTTGCCGCACTTCGGCATATCGGAATTCCATACTGCCATTTGAAGCCCGGTATCTCACCTGCAAAGATGTTTAAAAACAAAAACTAAAACTCGACCTTGCACCTTAAAGTATTTTTTCTCCATATATAATCATGTCCACCTGTCCAAAACCTGTTAATCTCTATGGTAATCACTGTGTACTGAAGAACCGTTTTTGCTGAAATTTTGAAAGTTATTTTCAAAATAAAGCAGTCCTCTCTCTCTCCTCTCTCTCTCTCTCTGAGATCGGACCGTGTTTAGGACGCACAGGTTAGCCGCTAACAACCAACCTCCTACGCTTCAGAAGGATGGTCAACTCCGAAGTCGGAGGAGGAGGGCAAGGAGGAGGATGGGAAAAATTCCTTCAGTGAATTTCTTCTCCAAGATGCTCAGCGATTCGCCTCAAGAAATTTAAGGATGCACAAGGAGGAGGAGGAGGTGGAGGTGGAGGAGGCGGAGGAGGAGAAGGAGGAAGAGGGAGGAGGAGGGAAAGGAAGAGGAGTAGGGAAAGGAAGAGGAGGAGGAGGATGAGTAGTAAGAGTAAAGTCTGCGGTTCCTTCTGTGGATTCCCTCCTCACGGTGCTCAGCGATTCGCCGCACAAAGCCTAGGTAGTAACTAAGGGGAGTAGAAGAAGGAGAGGGGAAGGAGGTGGAGGGGGAGGAGGAAGAGAAGGAAAAATGAGAGGAGGATCAGGAGTAGAAGGAATGTCTGAAGTTAATTCAGTGGACTCCTACCCCACGACGTTCAGCGATCCACCGCGCAAACCGTAAGGAGTTACTACTAGGAGGTGGATGATGATGAGCATGAGAAGGAGGAGGGGTGGAGGAATAGAAGGAATATGAGGAGAAGGAGGGGGATGATGAAGAAACAAGCCTGAGGTTCGTTCAGTGGACTCCGTCTACGCGATGCCCAACGATTCGTCGCACAAAGTGTAGGAAGAGACTAGGAGGAGGAATAGGAGGAGAAGAAGGAGGAGAAAGAGGGAGAGAATGACGAGGAGCAGGAGGATGAGGATGAGGATGAGAAGGTGGAGTAGGAGGATGAGGATGAGGAGGATGAGGAGGAGGAGGAGGAGGATGAGAAGAAGGAGGAGGAGGAGGAGGAGGAGGAGGAGGAGGAGGAGGAGGAAAGACTGAGGTCCATTCAGTGGACTTCGTCCCCACTCTGATCGGCGATTCGCCGCACAAAGCACTCTCATATGCTTGTAATCCATCGCCATGAGCTAAAAGACGTTGCTAGGAAAGGCAGCGACTGAGATGAAACCTGTCGTTTCGCTCAGAATGCAGAGTCAATATGCAATGGCTCCTTGTGATGTGGCTTTCCTGGCACTACAACTCACACGGGATTAAACTGCCCACCGTTCGTTTCTGTGACAACCCCCTCTATCTTGCGCGCACGAGGCCTGTGTGGCAGGTGTAAAAGTCTGTTTAGCTTTGTCAATCACTGCGTCTGATCCAGCCTCTGATCACCTACATTGTGGGGCACACAGCGGACGTCGTCATTCACGACAGTTGAAATGGCTTCTTACAATTACTATTCACAGTTTCTTAACCTGCGCAAGGATCCGTGCGATGATAAATTATCATGGTATCCACGCCATGCCACCTACGGTGTGCTCAGAGAAAGCTTGCACGCAAAGTGACAATTTGCCTAGTTGAATTGGAAACGATACTGGTTCTCCATTTCCACCAAGACAGTTACAAGTTGGTCAAACGACGGGCCCATCAAGCCCACGCGGTCACTTAAAGTGCCCATGCCCACTAATCACCCTTAGGACACTACCTTTACTAAAGGTTCTTCCCTAAATTTACACGCAATAATGATAATGATTAGTGGATACTGTATCATGCCCAATAGGACGCCCAAATTTCCATCTGCCCGCGTAGCAGACTACTTTGTTGCTCTTCTGATTTCGTCAGTTTTGCCTCCAATAGACCATCTGTATGTACCACGGGAGGTGTGCCGTCTGGCTCACCAGACATCGCCAATTAATGCCGTTGGCAATCGAAGCTTGCGTGCACATAGTCGGAATCCTTGCCCTGTAAGCAGATGCTCATCCTAGTCAGTTGAATATTAAAATTTCCAGCCTGACTAACATTATATGCTTTCAGAAATCTTTTCGGAATTTAACGGCATACTCCATTGCACACCGCGGCGTCGACTACGAGGCTCTTCAGCTGCAGTCATAGTGTTTGGCGACAGATGGCTTAGTAGAGGTCATATGCTAATGACAGACATTTTCAGGCTTTCGCGGACGTCCTGATTGATGCCAATACTTTCATGCCATAAAATATCGTTTTGACTGCGCTGGTTGTTATTGGGGACACAAATATCATAGAGGGTGTTAAGTTTAGTGTTGCTCTGACGTTCTAGATAATGCTGTTGCTGGCAAACGTCAAACGCAATTTTTGGAAGGAATTAGACGATTTGGGGATGCGGTAACAAAATTCAACTAAATATCAGGGAATAATGTGACGTTGTGATTACTGCTCCATATTTTTATGCGACGCTTATAATCTCATACTTGGACAGGACCATATAATGCGACTTATTTTTGGTCGAAAGTATCGAAGTGAGTAAATTTTATTTGAACCCGCTGGCTAGAATAAGACATCCATCCGCCTGACTTTTAGTATTCTCACATACATTCTTCATCATAGACTACATTAGACTATTATTTAATAAGTTATTTAATCAAAAGAGACCACGTTGACTTGCCCACATATAACGGGGCGTGTCTGTTGCAGGCATTTTCGGTCATTCCGTGTTCTCAATCAGCCAGCGGTGCAGCAGCGTGTCTTTTGAAGTGGTATGTAAGTCTAAAACGGATTGGGGTGATTTCCATTAGTTAAATATGCAAAAGACTTAAGTATAAAAATGCTTGAAGAAGCCACACGCACACGTCGGTCATTGCGCCGTCGCCACCATCTCAACAGCTGCCAGCCTATCCTGTTATCCTGCAACCGTTCATGTGCACTACGCATGGGCCTTGTAGATTACCTGCGAATTGGCTGCAAATAGACCAATAAACCGCTGCCAGGGGTATCAACATGCGCCTGTCGTATTCTCCTTAAAATTGCCGCATCGCGCACTCCGTGTAAATGCGTCATAAATCACCGCAAACCAAACTAAACAACCAAAAATCTCTTCAGCGACACAGAAACCACACAAGAACCCGTCCGCAGCATGTACCGTACAAACGGAATACGCACCTCTCACACAAATCGGAAGTGTCTTCCGTGACTCGTTCAAAAGATAGTCCCTAATTCACTCCTACACGTCTTGATTAACCGCTTATCTCTGCCGAACACTCGCGACCAACCTCAGACTAAGTCTGCTGACCGGAACATCTTGTGGATGGGCAGCGAAAGGGGCTAAGTGTGATATTGGGCTAAAATTCCTACGGTAGTCCATCTTATTCCTCGCCTAACTACACCCGACTCTCCCGAATGCATCACAGCGCGCACGAAGCCATGACCCATAAAATGCCTCTCCAGCCTCACGCATTTGAAAGCCTTGCCACCCAACCCCTGTGGGCAAAAGTGTGGTGTGTTGTGCGGATAGCCTGTCGTGTTTGGCACGCCTGGGCGCTTTATTTCGCTGCGTCAGCCAAGTGCACCCAATTCCATCAGCAGGCGACTGGCAATGAACTGGTGTCTGTGAGTTGAAAGACACACTGCGGAATCTGTCCCCACTGCCATGTTTCCAAACGTGACGTGAAAGACCACTAACTGACATGGTAAGGTTTCTCTCAGAATAGAGAAGCAGACGAAAATGACTTTCACCTGGATAGTATCTAAAGCACACGATTTTTGTATCTGTGTAAACCTAGCCTATCGATCACCGTTTCGGCATACGTTTTTGGCATAGACGGCCGGTTATGCTTTGCCATTCATTGCACCGAATACAGCCTGTGGTCCATCGAAATGCGACAGTGGACTCCTGAAATGGTGTCGGTTTGCGAGTGATTGGCAGTCATGCGAAAATGTCGACACACTTCATGAGCAAGGCCACTAACTCTTTGATACTACCAGCTAAACAAAACCAAGCAAGCCAAAGTGGAGTACTGTTCTATTTACAGGTACTGTGGTCAACATAAATTCGCTGGTGCCATATCCCAAGAGATAAAACTCTGAAGACAAAATTTCCAGCTATTTATTTCAACCTCATGCACCCCAGAAGGTCTTTTGACAAAAAACTTCAGACATTCAAACAGACACCCTGAGATTATCTGTGCAGGAAAAAAAATTTTCATTTGTCGCATAAATGATAAATTTCATGAATTTCCTATGAGAGGTAATTGTGTCAGACTTACGTCAACACCACTGGTGAGACGTACTTGAGTAGCATGAAAAATGGGTTGAGATTAGGTACTGCTTACTTTTCTTGGAAACCACTGGAGATCGCGTGACTTATGTAAATGGTCGAACGCGCTAGATTGATGAGATCGCAGGCTCAGTGAATGCCAAACGCCTTAGTAACAGTCATAACATCCTTGGTGGATTCATGTTTAACGGACAGAATTTAATGTCTTTGCGTGGTAGCCTTTTTTCTGCTGCTTTTAGCGGAATTGGTGCATGTACGCTCAATGTTAGGCTTGTTTAAGACATATTTTCGCATTTTTACCAGCCAACAATTCGGCTCCACTTTACTGTTAGAAAAATGACTTTCCGCTGAAGTTGATGCGGGCTCCAGTAACCAATCCGTTTATGAATCCTTGCTGTAAGAGCAGACATGCTGATGCGGAAATATCGAGCATAGTCGATGCGCCATTCCGCTGATGCTAACTCTGGTTGCAGACAGAATGTCAAAATGGGCAGGGCAACTTGGCGGAAAAAGTGAATTTATGGCTTTTATCTTGCAAGCAGTTAATCAGGAAATTTGTATTTTTAAAAAGACCTTATGAATTCTACCGTCGGCACCTAGTCAGGAATAATGAGAAACGACAACTGTTTTTGTGTTCGTGTTTTCTTGAAAAGTGAATTCCACCAAAGAACTATGACGGAGAAATCCCAAATGCCTTTTTAATACGCAAAGTAAGAAATTTTATTTGTCACACATACTGCCTAAATTGGATTTCTTAATGAAAATAACAGTTTTACAAAAGAAAGGCCAATATGTTTGGACAAAAGCTAGCCTTTTGTTTTATCCAGGTACTTATTTAAGCAATCTGTAGAAATATCTAGCAGCTTTTTGGTATTTAAACAGTGTAGGCTGAATTCTACAATCTTTTTCCTGCTGTCAGTCTTCAACACCGAGAAAAAGCATGACATGCCAGCAAATTGGGATTTTGAAGTTTTTGCTCCTTACAATTCCACCTAAAGGCAGCATCTTCCAAACAGCAGCCTTGTCGTGAAAGCGCACACAGTGGTTGATCAGCAAAAACCCTTTCTTGACTGTCCGCATGCGGACGACATTTATGTTAGTCGTCGTGTCAATTGCAAGTTGGCCCGAAATTCCGCCTGCTAAGTGGTTTATTCATATCCGTTACCTAGCAAACATGAACTTCATTATTTAGAAATTCAATATCTGCCCTGTCCTAATATGCTAGCAGATATTTCGAAATATGCCCTTTAATAGAAAAAAATTACTTGTGTGAGGTTGTGGTATTTGTTATCGTGCGGCATTATTTCCAGAACTTTCATTTAAGCCAGGATGTCGGGTTTTGAATGGGCTCCTTTTTGGTTGCCTTAAAAACTTTAGCCGGTCAAAATGAGCACTTCAATGGTCTGCACTACCTCAGTGCGTTGCAATGTCCTTATCAAGTTAAGAACGTTATCTTCTCTATAATTCTTTGTCAATTCAACTTATCTAGAATATACGGCTTTTAATTTGAATTAGTTCACAAGTATGAATGTTTTTTGTTTTATGTAAGCGCCGCCCCAGAGCATTGTATATACCCATTAATTAATGTTGCATATGGAGTGCAAGACCCGGTTCACGTTCATTTTAAAGTCTTATGTTCCCCTCACAACATATTCTTAATGGTGTAGATAAATGAATAATTTCCCCTGCACAGAAGGAATACAGGGTGTACGTTGGATGTCTGCTAGCGCATTTACCACTACAGCTGGTGCTCAAAGCTATTTGCGGATTAATAACCTATTTATAAACTTTAAAATATCTCCCTTTAACGCAAAACATTTGAAAAGGCAATTTCGTACCATATTTGGACATCATAAATACTGTTGTGCATATTTTCTATTAAATCAATTTGGT